ATATATTTATATTTAAAAAATCCTTTTTTGTTTTTCATTTCTTGCATGCCCTGGAAACAGTAGGTATAAATAAAAGAAACCAGTGTTGTTGAAAAGTTACCAAGAGCTAATGTAAAAAGCCAAAAGTTTATTTAAAGTTCTGTAAAGGTAAAAAAAAAAACCTTTCAGTTATTACTGTATTTAAGTAATACCTTTTAAGAATGTAATTTGTTAGTGTAACAATTTTTTTTCAAACCCAGATCAGCAACTATGACCGTCTGAAACAAAACTGTTTTATCAGACTCGATGGATTTGACAGAGAAACTCACAGCTTTCCTACTTATTGCAGTGCTCTCAGCACTGCTGCTGTTGTTGGGTTTTCTGGTCTGGAAGTCAAACTTGTATTTCTCAAGAGTTTCGGGACCTTTTCCCCACATATAATTTGAGGCAGGTGACTGTAGAATGTAAAAAAAAAGACTTCTTAGTTAAAAACAAAAGATGACAGCTCAAGCTAACTGTGCCAGCTGAGTTTACCTGCTTGCTCCTAGCTTGGGACAACTGTTTCATTTTAGCAGTAGTTAATTCATTCTTCAAATCAGTGAGTTCTTTCTGTAGAGTTTCCTAAAAGCAAAGCATTTTAGAAACACTGAATGGTCTATAAGACATTATACAATCTTCTTCTAAATAAAAGCACAAAGAAACAAACAAAATATAATAAACATGTTAAATCAGAACACACCTTCTCTGTTGCCTCGGTCTTTAACTGCTTCCTCAACTGTTCATTTTCTGTTTTCTGTTTTAACAGGTCCACCTCCTATAGAATGGAAATATTAGATTATGACCTTTTCATGAATTTTATTTTGGTTTGGTTATTGTTTTGGGGTGACACACCATTGATTTTGCATTGGCAACTGCCTCCATCTCTTTGTTCTTGTTTTCATTAAGCTCTGCATCCTTCTCTTCAACCATACGATCATATTGGCTCTAGGAAAAAATAAACTCTTTGAATGCAGCAATAACACATTGTTTATAATGACAAAGGTAAATTATTTTAACCCACTTTATGTTTTTCCATCAGTGCAACCATATCTGCTATCTTGTGCTGACACTTGATTTCTGCATCTTCCTTGTTCCTAATGGATTCTGCTACTGTTAATCTGAGCTTTTGAATCTGCCAAACAAAATGTCCTTATTTTATGTTCATCAGTGAAAAAAGATCAATTAACAGAGTAATGTCAGAAAAGTTACCTCATTTTCAAGGTTTGCTGTTGAAGTTGATTTAGAATCAAGATCTTTAAGCAATTTTTGACATTCTTCATCTTTTCGTTTCTTCAGGTTCTGTGACTCCTCCTGAAGCTTGTCGATCTTAATAAAAACATGAGACAGTTGCTGTTAGCTTACTGGTAAATGTTTTACATAATATATCGACTGCAAGAACTACAAAAGCAAAACCTCCCTACCAGTACTTCCAGATGACTGGATTTAGCCGTCTCCTTTGTGATTTGTTTTTTAAGCAGTTTATTCTGAAAATGAAGTTTAAGATCAAGTGAATAAAAGGGCCGCTCAATATAAAATCATGAAATAACTCAGTGGCATTAATTTTGAAAAACAACAAAAAAATCAAAACCTCTTTCTTGTACTCCTCTTGCACTTGAAATTTATTTTCAAATTTCTTCCTGAGATTGCAAAGCTAAAAGACCAGTGAATTCATGTTAATTTAATAGGATGTGTAGTAGATGACAGCACTGTTAATTTTCAGTTTTAGTTCTTTCACCTTTGCTTCAACAGATTTTATCTGTTTCTCTTTTTGTGTGATTTTCTCCAGCAAATCCTCACACTGTTCAAAAAAAGGACAAACTGATCATTTATCTGGGTTCAGCTTTCTAAACTCGTGTTTTTAGTGATTACTGCTACTTTAAACAACAAAACTTACCTTTACTTCAATTTGTTTCTGCACAATTTCAATTTCTTGACATTTTCCTTGGATTTTGCTTTTAATGCTCTTGACATCGTTTCTATTTAAATGAAATATAAAGTAGTAACATTGGAGTTGAATATTGCCAAGTCTCTTAATTCTCTCAGAACACAAACAAACCTTAAGCATTGGTTTTCGTCTTCCAGTCTTTGAATTTCTCCGCTGAACTCCTGTTGACCGAATGTCTTCTCAGACTGAATCTTGCCAAAATTGACCAGTAGCTCTTCATATTTGACTCTTAAAGATGACATAAAAAATACATCAAGAAACACAAACATAATATGACATTATTAATACTAAAATAAATAACAAAAGTTACTCATGCTGCAAGATGTCTCTCTTTAGTTGCTCCATCTCAGAGGTGAATTTTTTATTTTTCTTTATTTCAGCAGAAAACTGTCCTTCAAGCTCCTGTGTTTTGATCTTGTTTAACCACAAAGAATGAGTTGAAACAAAGAATTGCTGACAACAAACCATTTCATTGATGGAAGAAGTGTCTGTATTACCTTAAACATCTCAATCTCTTCAGTTTTCTCTGAAAGCTCAGCAACAAGTTCTGTGATTCTAACCTGATAGACATCAAGCTTGCTCTTAAAAGACTCAATAGCTTTTGATCTGGTGTCCTAAAACAACAGGAACATTTAGTGTTCATGAGTCATTAACTGTAGTTTTTTGACTGAAAAGTTTAGTAAAAAAAATAAAAATTATGAAAAAGACACCTCTCAAGGATATTAAATGTATTTTACCAATTTGTCTTCAAGGATTTTGATATTTTCACTTTGCTTTGCCGTCTGTTCCTTGATCTCTTCTGTTGAGTGAAAGTCTCATTTTAGTCTTGAGGAGCATCAAATAAACGTGTTATAATTCAGAGAAGAACCTACCTAAAAGTTTAGTTCTCTTTTCAAGTTCATCGCTGTTTGTCATTAGTTGAGCTTTAAGATCCATGGCACTTTAGAATGAAAAAAATAATAAAATTTACACATAAATAAAACTTTAAATTTAGTCTGGAACAAAAACAGAATGTTCCTGAGTTAATTCTACCTCTGTGTCCCTAGAGCATGGGAGTTCTTTAGCTCTTGAAGAACTGTTTCAGTCTTCTCTAGTTTCTCTGCCAGCTGAATCTTTGCTCTGCTGAGCTCCAGCATGTTGAGATCTTTGCTTTGAACGATCTCCTCATATTCCCTTTTACTTTGTTCCATGGCTGCAGCAATAGTTTCCTGTGTTTTCTTTTTTGGAGGCAAGTTAATGCTTGAGAGCCCAAGCTCATTAAGAACAGTAAAACCTTTTACATACTCACCTCAGTTTCTGCACAGTGCTGCTCAGCAGTGTACAGTTTTTGAAGAAGGGATTCTTTTTCAGCTCTCAAGCTTGTGAGGAGTTCTACTTGTTGATCTGTAAAGTAGTAAATATGAAATGTTGTTTTAGGAATGAAAAGTAAACTCATTGCGTTACTGAAAAAATAGATAAATAATACAAGTATTTGTTGATAAATTTGATCATTTCAAAATGCCTGTTTGTTGAAAAAAGACAAGTGACTGAAAATTTTAAATGTAATTAAGACAGCTTCTATTTCTTTAATCAAGTCCCTAGAATAAAGTAATAAATGTCATCAATTAAGGCCTAAATGTACACTATAGTGACAAAAAAATGTGGAAATTTGCACCCAAACCTTACATAGAATCAGTGTTGCCAGACTGGGCAAGTTACTGCCAATTGGGCAGTTTTCATTATGATTTTGCTGGGAACTCTGGGAAGATTTTTGTTGGATTGTTACGTTTTGCCACATATTGTTGAATTACCTTGGCTTGTACTGATGTGTGTTCATGTACAAACAGTAAATATACTGTAATAATATATTGATTGGGCAGATTTTTGTGTGATGTGGTAGTTTTTAACAGATTTTTGTGCTAGAAAACCTCGACTCTATCTGGCAACACAGCACAGAACAATGTAAATGTAAAGTGTTAGTTCTAAAAAAAACTGTGATGGACTTGCGACCCATCCAGGATGTACCCCGCCTCTCGCACTGTGATTGCTGGACATGGGCACCGGCGACCCCCGTGACCCAAAATGGAAGAAGCGGGTAAAAGATAATGGATGGATGGATGTACTCAGTCAACTCAAAATGTAGCCAGAATCTCACTTGTTAAGTCTTGAAGCTGCCCACAGTTCTTCTGAGCTTCATTGAGGTCAAACAGGACTTTGTGTAGCTCCTCCTTCTTATCCTTAACTTTTGTTTGAAGCTTCGTAATCTGTGAACACAATAAAAATTCGTATTAAGACTGACCTAAGCTGATCTCAACCTCTGAACTGGGGTTCTGATCAAGCCATTTTTCACTGATTGGTACTGCAGTAGCTGAAAATACTCGATCTCTGTCTTTGATCCATAGTTTTATGGTTTAGTTCATGGTTTGGTTCTGTGTTGTAATACTGCTGCTGTAAAACATTGTGATGTAAAGTGCCAACATGTCTGCAGAATGGAAGTCTTTTAAAATATAAAATGAGAGCAGTTCACTAGCTACTTTAAACATTTGACATTCAGGTATTTCTTATGGTAGTAGTGTCAGAGCTATAAAATCCTAGCACTTTGAATGAAATACTCACTCACCCAGCTAACGCTTTAACACTAACGTAGCTTAAATGGCTTGGAAAGAAAGAAATAATTGGAATATCCCTAATTCTTAATATTGGTTTAAAAACTTTTGGTAACAAGTTTAATGCTAAAAGTCCTTAAAAATGAAAGGAGTTTAAAATACTAACCTCTTCATTTTTCATAGCATGCTCTTGTTTGTATGTTTCTTTCAGGTCTTCAAACTCCAGCAAGCCCTCTTTGACTGAAACAAACATTCAATGATCAAATCTTGTGCATAAAGTCTTCCACTTCAACCACTTCACTTACATCATAAAAAAACATTTTAAGGTTTAAAGAAATAATTACTATATAATTGAAAACAATAACCATAATATATAGTAAAAATGCAAAAGTAATGTGTGAGTATATTGTTTCAGTGTACCGTACAATATGTTTGTACCTTTTTGCATCTCTTGTTGATCAGCTTCTACTCGAATCCGAAGGCTCTCAAATTCTTCAATTAATTTCTATAAGACAAAGTCATTTATGAGCACAGCCTCTAAACCAAAAGCATTATTAACACATTTAACAAAATATACCGTAAATTAGTTTAATCCCCCACCCCCACTGAACAGTCCAAATTCAGCTTCAGACTCGTGTTTTTATGTGTCATTAATCTGTGCAGCTGAGCAGCGCTCTGAGAGCGGGCGAGCATGTACTCTGTGCTGTGGTCATCGTGGAGCCCCTGCTGCCATCACCCACATACAAGTTTTTCTCTGGGTCACCCCTGGGGTGGCTCGGATCCAAAGAGCTGCTGTTCAACCTCAGCAGGACTTAGCCGGGGAGGCCGAGCTGAGCAGAGGCCTCTGTGAGGCAGCACATCCTGTGTGCTCGCACCCCCTCCCAACCCACAGCTGGGGGGAGGAGGATGGAGGGAGCAGAGGAGAGGTTGTGTGTGCATGAGCAGCAACGATTGGGCTCATAGGCTTGTGTTCTGACTGGAGACATGCAGCAGAATGAACCATGAGATCTTTGAAACAGGTCTCTCTTGTAAACGAGTCCTCGAGGCTCAATGAGACTAACCTGTTCAAGGTTAAAGGTTGAATGAAAGTTGGTAATTTAGTTTCTGGGTAGAGTTTGCATGTTCTCTTAGTAAACTTTTTCTTCGGTTTTCTCCCAAAGACCAAAAACATTCATGTTAGGCTAACTGGTAACACTAAATTGTCTCTAGTAGGCCTGTCAAGATAACAAATTTTGCTGGGCGATTAATTGTCTCAGAAATTATTGCGATAAACGATAATATTGTTTGAAATTTAACAATGATTAATTGGCAAATTTTAGAAGAAATGTTGAGTTGTTTGGAGTGTAGTACCATTTTTGACTCCCTGATGGCAGTATAAGACTGTTTGAACCAAACCTGCGGTGCCTCAGATCAGCTGATCAGCTGCTCCTGGAGGTGCCGAGGTCTAAACGGAGGCTCAGAGGGGACAAAGCTTTTTCTGTTGCTGCTCCAAGACTGTGGAACGATCTTCCTCCTCCCATCAGACAAGCCCCTTCACTGTCCAGTTTTAAAACTCTTTTAAAAACACACTTTTACTCCCTGGCTTTCAGCACAGACTGAATTTTGCTCTGCACTGTTTTTATTATTTTTTATTGATCTTAATGTTTTAACAACTGTTTTATGTGTTTAAATGTTCCTGATTTTATATGTACAGCACTTTGTGGCAGCTGTGGTTGTTTTAAAGTGCTTTATAAATAAAGTATTATTATTATTATTAAAGGATGGATAGTTGAGCAGCATGTCTCTTTAAGAAAAAAGGGAGGGAGGGCCTTTGACGTGACATGGGCTGACATGGGCTGACATGGGCTGACATGGCGGACGCTCGGTGATTTGCGCTCTTTAGCATAGAATTTTTCACACAAAGCTTTTAATTAAAAATCAGAAAACAACTTCTCAGCTTCTTTTTGCAGAGAAAAACAACTTTTTACACAAAGGCACGGGTTTCAACCGTGAATTTTGGAGCTCGACAAGATGAAGGTTTATTCCCGAGGTTGGCCTGTTAGCTTAGCTTCTCAGCTTAGCTGCTTTTAACGATCCAAAAACAAGATTTTGGACGGTTAAAATTGATTTTAAAGAGAAAGGGAGGGATCAGTGAAGAGCACTGGAGTTGAGCTGTCATCAGCAGAAAAGAGACACGAACAAATGATAAAGCCGGTAAATGAAAATGAGGTAGATAATTTTCATTCATCATGCGATTAATTGATTTATTGTTTATTATGACAGGCCTAGTCTCTAGGTGCAAATGGTTGTTTGTCTCTATGTGTCCCTTTGATGGACTGGAGACCTGTCCAGGGCGTACCCCGCCTCTCACAAAGTTTCTCCTGGATATGGGCAACAGTGACCCCCACGACCCAAACAAAGGAAAAAGATGGTAAAATAATGGATGGATGTAAATTTAGTAGTGTTTTACCTGAATCCGTTCACTATTTTCCATGTAGAGGCGATGAGTTTCTTCTCTTTCAGATTCAACTACAGAAAAGTTATGTGTTATTTCATTAATTTTTTTTATACCTTTGATACTGGGGCTGATAGAAAACAAAATATACATTTACTTACATAAATGCATTTTGTCAGTGGACCACTGAAAGGTTTCTTTGAGAATATTACACAAGTTCCTTGTTGCATTGTTTCTGTATGTAAAGCAGAAACAATGAATTTTACTGTTAGAAAAGCAGTTGCAGAAACACGGTATTTGCATTTTCCAAACAGATTTTTATGTTTATATAAATTTTGCATAAAGTATGTGTCTGGTGTGAGCTTTCCAATTTCAAACAGACATACTTGTTTCTTAGATCTTCATTTTCACTTATTTGCTCTTCCAGCTTTATGCTAAGACTTTCATTGCCAAACTGTAGAGATAAAATACTTAAGATCAATGAGCCTTAAAAAATCATCACAGTATGTGGGATGAGAGATGAAAAGACAAAAAAACAGCTTCTCAGATGCACACCTGCAATTCCTGAATGGCTTGGCGTTGAGTTTCAATTGTTCTTTTATTATCTTGGAGACTTCTTTCTTTCTGGACTGTGTCAGTGTCAACTTTGAACTTCCAGCACTTTATCTTTTCTACTTCATCAAACAGCTTGGTATAAAGCTCACCGGGATTGCAATTATTCTGGGGAATATTCACAATAGTAGGAAGTTAACAGACACACTTAACAATAAACAATTTGTGATCCAAAAGTAGGCCAAGTGGACAGAATAAAAATATTACCACTTCCTTTTCCAGTGGTGACAAAGCTTTCATCTTAGGGAAGTCTTTAGAAAAGAATTAGTAATTAGTTCATCAAAATATGCATGACACTCACAGGGATTTTTATTACAGTTATTGTCAGATAAAATATACCTTGTATGGATGGTTTAGATGGTGCAACCACACTTTTATTGACAAAAGGCATGATCTGCTCTTTGTTGTGGCATAAATTATAACCCTGAAAAAGAGCATTAAAACTTAATTTGCTGGTTTTTTTTTATTTTTTATTATATTGCATTTAACTTAAAAAAGGGATGAAATATTCAGAATTTTTAACAAAAGTCCAAAAAGTTAAAGATAGCAATATAAAAATTGGGAAATACGTGGTTAAACCATGAAACTAACAGGAATAATAGCTGCTATAAACATGTTTCTCTGGTTCAAACATTATTTTATAGGAACATTTGGAGCTGGTGGCCATGTTTAGCTACAGGTACAATTCCAACGACATTATAAGTGAATACACGGTTAAAGATAATTATAGTCAAGTTTATTCAATAACTTACCGGATGTGTGGTATTCAGAAAATCACCAGAGTTTTCAGCTATTTCCTGAGGTCGAACTGCGTTTACCTGACCGTTGCTGGCTCTGGGGGGCATCAGCAGCTTGAATTTAAAGCTCCTGTCCATCCTAAAACAGACACAAAAGCATTGACAGCCTGTTGCTTAAAATTACTTTACAACCCGAAGTGCTTAAAAAATGTGAAGAAGAAAAAAAAGTCGGGTTTACCTTCAGTATTTTGTGGTTTCTTGACTAATTTAACCGTCAAGACAGTTTAGCTACCTACCAGCTAGGTGGGTAATGTCGGTTTTAGCTAACCAGTTTTACTGCAGTTGACGCGAGATATAGCTATTAGTTAAAATTACCCAGATAAGTCACAATAACAAAAAAAAAAAAAAACACCGAGTCAAACATAAAAATAAGAAGCAAATATTGAACTGCGTTTTCACTTTACCTGCTCAAACTAACGGATGCTCTGGAACAGCGCGCGCGAGGAGAGAACGTTTAAAGTTGCGATGACGTAAGCCCTACCGCAACGTCTGTTAAAGGGGTTTGAGTGGGCTAAATCCATTATCGGACAAGAGCGATAAATAATTTTAAAAAAGTGCATTCAAAAGCTGTTAATTGTTATATTGGGAAATAAACGCATTTATTTCCTTGTATATGTTTTGTTTTTTGTTTTTTTCTCTGTACAGCATGTTGCGCTGATCAGGATATACACTTCCTGCGGTACTTTGAAGAACAGGTGTTGCGCCAAATTAATTATCCCCCAAATAATTCGTGACCCCAGGCTTGGGAGCGCGCACAAATCAGGAAAGCATGCTCGACTTCAACCAAATTAAACCTCAAAATAGTTTCACGTTTTAATTAATGTATGATTATATATGATAAAACTTTTTTAAATGCATTAAATAAAACAGATCTCCAGAACCATAAATAACATTTGCATTGAATCTAAATATCCCCTTCAAGCTTCCAAACCCATATTCTGTTTACTGTTTATTCTGTTTTCTCCATTAAGCACATGGCACTAGAGTACTCCACTGGTAGAAGCAGGATCCCCAGATTCTGCCTGTGGAGTACACGAGTTTTTCCATAATTAAGATACTGTATTCCCAGCAGCAGATCTAGATTTTATTTCAGAGGACTAATGGAGGACACAGCTTCAGACTCAGAACCTGCCAGAATGTGTCCCTTCAACTTTATAATAAACAGAGCAAACATCTTTAAAACCACTGAAATAATAAGTCATAATGAGGAGTATTTCTGACATGAAACACATTCATCTTCTTTATTTATGCTTATTCATTTCATTTTTATATTTTATGGGCTTGGGATGTGGGCACAGGTTCTGGCAGAGGTGGTGACTCAGGCTGCCAGCTTTTGTGTTCTCCTTCAAATAATTTCTAATTAAATATGCACACTTTACAATTTGTAAGTAAAATATTTTAATCATCTAACTTCCATCCATCCATCCATCCATTGTCTTTACCAGTTTCTTCCTTTTCAGGTCGCAGGGGTGACTGGTGCCCATGTCCACCCATCACTGTGTGAGAGACGGGGGACACCCTGGACATGTCTCCAGTCCATCCCAGAGATCAGAGACAAATGAGACAACCATTCACTCTCTCACTCACACCTAGGAACAATAGGAACAATTTAGAGCAGCGGCTCTCAATCTAGGGTCCCCGGACCACCCTGGGTCCACGAGCCGGTGCTTGGGGTCCGCACACAAAAAAAAGAAAAGAAAAACGTTTTTTTTTTTTTTTACAAGCACGTAGATGTTTAATAACTTATTAAAATACACAAAAATGCAGGAAATCGTATCGACTTCATTCAGAATTTGCTGGGGGGAACCCCAGACTCCCTCACCAACACCCCGCCTCACCCACTATTTTCATTCCAGCATAGACCAGTTTACAAATTAAGCCCCGGTACTTGGTACGACTACTGCTGTTATGATGCTGTTCAGTTTTATGTAAAACGTTTTCTGTAATAATTTGAAGACATGGCAATACATTTATTGTGTTCATTATGTGAATAAATAATGTTTTAAAGTGGGTTTTGATACAGTTAATTTCCTTAAAACTGTAATTTTTGGAAGTTGAAATTAAACATTTTGTTTATTAATGAAGAATAGCCCATGTTTAAAAGTATAAAAATAGTTTTAACACTATTAAAGAACAGATTATAAGTATTTATGTTACACAAATATTTCCATTGCATTCAAGACACAAATTGAAGACAATTATTTAATAAACATGAGGGTTATGAGGGGGTCCCTGAAACTTTTTCTCACCTGTTAGGGGTCCCTGAGCCCGAAAGTTTGAGAACCTCTGATTTAGAGTTGTCAATCAAACCTAACATGTGTGTTTTTGGTCTGTGGGAGGAAACCGCAGTATCTGAAGAAAACCTATGCATGCACAGAGAACATGCAAACTCCACCCTGAAAAGCCCTCGGGTGGGATTTGATCCACTGAGAGGCGGCGGCAGCTCTACCAACTGCACCACCCTGCTCATCTAACTCCATTGTCTTATTGAGCAGCAAGCTTTATGTTTATTGGCTTAACAGATCAAGACTTTCTTTTTTGACAAATCCTGTAGTTAGGGTTGCTTAGGACAAATTGACCTCAGTAATTGCTGGACATGAGCACCAGCGACCCCCGTGATCCAAAATGGAAGAAGCAGGTAAAAGATAATGGATGGATGGATGGGTCATTAGTTTTTGTAACATTTCTGTAAAACTTACAAATAATAATAAAAAAGTAAGAACAAAAGAATGTCAACAACATCTCTTATTTAAATGTGAATTTATTTGTCTCTGTAGGTTTCATATGTACACAATACATGTTATAGTTTTCTATCACGTTAACACACAAAGCTGTGCATAAAGGGTTTTTTTTTTTAACCACTGGATAATTCATAACAGACAAAGTATAGGTATACAAAAATAAACTAGCAAAATTTAAAACTTGCTTTAATATCATTAAGATATAAAGTCTGAGTGACAAATCAAAAGCCCTGTGTCGTGAGGTCTTTGTGGCAGAGTGAGATACAAACATGTGGACACTACAACAGGAAGTGTTTCTTTCAAAACCTAAAATCCTGTCTAATAAAACAACAACTGATAGGTGTCTAAATGTTAAAACACAGAGTACAACAGGAGACTACATTAGATTTAGAAGAGTTTGTTACATACTTGACTATATGGAATGCCTTATCACCATTTACCTAGTAAAATCCAAGCAAGTGTGAATGTTACTCACTGGTTTCACTGCATATTAGAGGTATTTCATGTTATGTTTTGACTAGAACCTAAAGGGTTTTAATAAGTGTGTAAATGCTTAACAAACAGTTGCAAGTTGGCCATATGGTCTAAAACTTTTTATTGTTATACATGATGATTGATGTGGATGGGTGGGCCCTGTTTGCATGTGTTAAAAGTCTATTTCTGAGATGGAGGTTGGCTTGAAAAGGCAATGAAGACTTATGGGACAGATCTGGTTGACAGGCCACAGACTGATGACGTCTTCTGCATGGACACGTTTCTCACTTAAACTGGTCCAGATGGCATGATTTAACCTTTTTTTTTTGTTTGTTAAATACATTTACTGACAGTCTTCTGAAAGAGCATAACATGAAATAAAGAAGCTTGCTGATGGTAAGCATATTTCACAGACCACACTTTAAAGAATTTATTTGTCCAGAATCACATGCTGATAAGGTGTGGAGCACTAGACAGTGTCTTCTGTATTCTTAACCTCAACACCATCACTACCAGAACTGGGCTTTGGTTCCCTAACTCCCATCCTGGCCCGCCTCTCCTCCTCCTTCTTCTCCTTGTCCAACAGTCGATAGTTGATTCCCATCCCCACAAATAAGAACACGCTGGAAATGATGAGGACAATCCCACAGCCCTGGTACGTGTACTTGTAATCATGGTAGATATCTTTGAACTTTCCTGTGAAACAAACAAGGAAAAGGTTACAATTCTATATTGGTTTAATGTGGCATTAAATGTAGTCAGGTGGTGGATTGTGTACTCACCAAGCAACGGGGGGCCTAACAACACAGGGGCACACTCCATAATAGTGACCAGCCCAACGGCACTTGAAAAGCGCTGGGCTCCCACTAGATCCATCAAGGTCTCAAACAGCACTGAGCTCAGCCAACCGAAAGCAAAGCCAAAAAAGCAGGCATAAATAATAAAGCCTTTGTAGTCCACTGATAGTGGAGCTAGAACGTGACAGACACCATTATACAACACAGAGGCAGCAAAGTAGTACTGTATCCTGGGCCGGACCCACTTGGTGTTGGCTACAATGCCCATCGAGGGCCGAGCAACCATATCAACAATGGCCAACACGGAGAGTAAAAAAGCCGCCTTCTCCTTCGGAATATCTTTGCTCTTTGCATAATTAGAAAGGAACACCAGTGGTGCAAAAAGACCAAACAACATGACAACATTTCCCATAATGTAGAGCAAAAATCCACGGTGCTTAAACAAAGAGAGGTCAATGAAGCTGTTAATGGTCTGCACTACAGTCTTCCTCTCTGTGCTCGCTTCTGCAGGTTTGGGTTTGGGTCCTATAGGTCGCATGAGGGCACCAGCAACACAGCAGTTGAGGAGCAGGCCGCCCAGGATCAAAAAACTTCCTCTCCAGCCAAACTGGTCATAGAACCAGGTGTTAAGAGGAGCCAAGGTGGAGAGAAACACAGGGCTCCCAGCCATAGCAATCCCGTTAGCTATAGGTCGCTTCTTGAAGAAGTACTTTCCAATCATAGTAAGTGCAGGGTTGAGGTTAAAGGACAATCCCAGGCCTGAAAAAAAAGCATGTAAATGTAAGAACACTTGATTGCAACCTAACCAAATAAAACACAATATAGAAACTTAAACTTACCTCCCATCACACCAACACAGAAGTAGAGTGCTTCCACAGAGTTACAAAAAGAGGCAGCAACAAAACCTATTCCAGACAGACAACCTCCTGTCATCATGACAGGACGACTCCCATATTTGTTAACCAGGACGCTGCTGATTGGACCTGAAGATTGCACACACACACACACACACACACACACACACAAAAACACAAATACAGTTTGATTTAGAAATACAGCATGCAGTTTTGCATTTAACCACCAGGGGGCATCATTGCTACAGCAGTTGCTCTGCAATTTCAAACAGCTTCTTCAATCAATTGTGCCAGTGGTGCACTGCAGCAGATGTGCTCTCCTGCCATTAATATTGGGATCTGTCAGAAGAACCACAAACTCTGCAATTAAATAATTATGTCTTTGATTTTGTAATTCATACAAACATACAGAGATTTCCTTTCTTTAATGAACTTAGAAGCGCTTCAAATTAAAATGGAACAAATCTCAGGTCAGAAAAGAAGGTGCAGTTTTTGTGTCTGCGTGTGCTTTGTGGTGGCGAGGAGTGGATTTTTGGCACCGATGTGCGCATGGAAGATACAATAACAGAAATATTTCTCTTTCTCTCCCTTTATCAGTTTTGGCACCTGGTGCACCAGTTAGAAAGAAACCTGGTGAATGAGGCAATAGTGAATCAACTTATTAGGATGGGGTTCAACGTCAGCTCAAAAGAAAATTACTATGACTTGCAGACAAATGACTAAAATGCATGTAGAGTTCAGGTAGCAAAACACCGGCTTCATCTCCAACTTATAACCATCAGCCTAAATGAGTATGAGGCTCCACATGGAAGACACTTCTGCCTTCCTGCCAAATCCCTGCAGTCCCCAATGAGCCTAAATGGAAACTGACAGTTTTTGTTTAGAGGTTGTCCAGACTCATTTGCCAGCACGATGCAAGACAAAGGGTTTTTAAATTGTAATGCAGGCAGTCTTCATGAAAAACAATGAGTTCTTTCCTTCCACTTTGCAGGGAGGGTTGCTTAGGATATAAAGGTTGGAGACAAACCAATGTAGAATATTATGAATATAATGAATCAAAAATTGAAGGAGTACAGGGGTAGGCAACAGTAGGTTTTTAATGAACTTCTCCTGCTGGTGTGCTGAGAATGTTAACATGCAGATGGGAACAGATTCAGCTGTCATCCCACAGCGCTGCAAAGAAAAGGAAAACATTTCCTCGCTGCGTTCTCAGTTCGAGAGCCGTGCGAAGCTATAGCTGCCATTCGTATTTGTTTGCATTTTAATTTGTACAATAATTAACAGTGTTGCACCTGAACATGTACAGATGGGCACCAAATTAAAAAGGGTTGTTCGGCGCTTCCAGAGCAGATGTTGCAACTACTAATGTTGATTTTATGAGTCGGGAATTTTACCGATATGACAAAACGTAATTCTTCCTGAAGAATAGCCACACTAATATTCAGTTGTGTTGCAATCTGTTGACTGTGAAAAGCGTAACATGTCTCTACGGTAATTTTCATATCAAACCATTAGTTGCCTCCTCACATCCTGTGGGTATCGTCATCCAGCAGGAGACAGTTCCTTTCAGGGTAGAGATCCTTCATGAGTGGATAAAGGTGATGTCTCAGAACAACTTTGTATTGATTTGTGGAGACTATATCCTCTAAGGGGACAAGTGGACCCAAAGCATGCGAGTGCCAGATGAGTAAAAGGTTACGGGTGTTCCTGCTGTCACCTGTCTGTACATTGAGACCACCACAGGTTGTAGCTTGTCAGGATGTCTGCAGAGCTGACGACAGCTAAGTGGGGCCCATCATTTTACTCTTGGAAGTATTAAACCTTTACTTCAGCCTGTAAACTTATCTGCAAATCAACTATTCTTGCAGCCAAACTCCACAACCAGGTTTAACAGCATGTACGTTAGGGGGAACAAGTTGCTGAACACTAAGCAGCATTGATTCCTTAAAGCACTTTACTTCCGTCGTACAGTAATTCGGCTTTGGCGTGGCTAAGGTGCTTTACTTGCTTTTTAGTTTTTAATAGACATGTGACAGCTTTGTGTTTTTTATTTTTTTTATTTATGAAGCAAATTCAGCTTTTTCTCTCTCGCCACAGTGCAGTGCAACAGATGCAAAGCTAACTTAAACAACTATGCTAACTTTTACTGTTTGTGGCTTGTCGATGCTATAAATTGTGCACTGCTGTCGGGATTAGTATTTTTTTTAATATAGTGATATATTATTCTTGTCAATAAAACAACTTTTTTTAACTTCCGATACTTCAGATAACTTATTGACAAGTTTTACAGTTTACTATGCATTTAAGAAAATGTAACTACAGTGGTGAGACTTTAGAACAGATGCTCTTTATAGGCTCATGAATGAAGACTTATCGCCACCTGACCGTCCAGAAGTGTGTGGTAACACTTGAAGTCTCATTCATCTCATCATTACTGCAAGATCCCTAACTCCCTGGTGGTCGTCCTCTCTCAAAGAGTGAGGGAAAACAAGCCACAGGGATACAAACTGAAACCCATTTATGTCTTCCTGAGACAGATAGTGTTGCAACAGCCCTACAAAAGGGTTACAGTAGTCCCGTACTTGTTTAAACATGTTTATAAATGTTATCTTTTCTATCCGAGTGAGAATATGTGGCCTCAATCAGGACAGCATGAGAGTGAGAGCCTCTCTATGTCTGTATTTCAGAAAAAAAGATCGATTTTTAACTAAAAACAGCAGGAATTAATCTTTCACAGTCATGCTAAGAGCTAGAAATTGATTCAATCTATAAAGCGCCCTGATGTGCTAAATGTCACGTGTTAACAAAGCCAAGTGTGGCGGCCCGCTTGTATTTTGGGTTGCAGCTCACCTCCGCCGTACGTGACTGCTAACATGATGGAGGAGATCCAGGACACTTGACTGCTGCTGGCATTGAAGATCACCTCAATTTCCTTGAAGAAGACAGTGATCGACTTGGCACTCGCATAGGAGAAGCCAATAGAAATGAAGGCCCCAACTACCACCATCCAACCCCAGCCACCCTCAGGGGGTGTGTATCCCTGAGGCCCACCAATGGCAACTGGCATTTTTCCTCAGGTATGATAGCCTGCATTGGGGAAAATAAACAATCAAAATACTTTAATTAATATAGTAAACTAGTTGATGGTTTAGTAGAACTTGCTAAAAACAGCTCAGATGTTTAAACACTTCCTAGTTTATTATCTGTGACAAAAAAAAAAGCTAAAGAAGTTTTGGACTTTAAGAAAACCTGAGACTTTTGTATATAAAGTCTTCTGACTGGTTAGACCAAACTGTGAAGGCTCTTGTGTTGCACTAAACATCGGCATGCCACTAATAATACTGCTTCTTATCCTGACCTCTACTTCTTTGTACCCCTGATTTGCTGAGAGTTCAGGTATTCATGAAAAAGAACCAGATTTTACCACTTAGTCAATAACAGCAGAGTTTAAGAGCAGGGGTTCTGCTTCTGGTCCTGCTTTGCTTTGAATTGCTCTCCATGTGTGTTCGCTGAGCTCTCAGCCACCGATCCCCCACAGTTTCACTTTAGAGGTGATGAATAAGAGTCCATCTGCAGAGTCAAACTGCTTACTGTATTGTTTACACAGGGGAGACTATCCAGGGAGAACATTGATCAGATCATGAAAGCACGTTGAATTCACACTGCTCGATTGCCCAGGGCTGTGCTCCAGAGTGGGTGATAATATAGTGTTTTTCAGCCAAGAAGGACTTGATTTAGTTGATGAATTGGTTTAGTGCTCTGAAAACTTATTGGATAAGCCAGTTGTGTGCAGCAAGTAGTGAATATTTAATGTATAAAATAACCTGTTATTGAGCTGGGATTTTAGCTGCTGCTGTGCAGCTGTAAATGTGCCTCCTGTATTGTTCTACAGAAACAATAGATAGGAGAGAGAAATAAGAACTCTCAGAATCTCTTTGATCCTTTTATTATCTGTTCACTCAGAGCGATTTAGTTACCACTTGGGTACACGTAATGGAATTTGCATATATATAACATGCAGCAACATTATTTAACATTAAGTGGTTGTTTGTGTTTCATACAATGAGCAATATTGGATCCTTGTTGCTGTTCAAGGTTCTCTTGGACAATAAAACATTTGTGCTCTCTAAGGTTGAAATGGTCCTTATAGTTTTTATCGACCCCCA